ACATTTGAATATTACCTCCTCCAAAGACAGGACCCTTTACCAGTGCTAAGGACATGACATCACATTTGAAGTCTGCTAGGTTATGAGCAGATGTAATCTGTAAGGAAATTGAAGTAGAATGAATTCAAAGGGCAGTTTTTTCCCTTACTTAAAATAGATCACTATTGTGTGGTAAAACAATTATGGTCTTTAGATTTGCTCTACAACATGATTTTGAAATTGTTGTCACAGATATTAGAAGAGAATTACACTGCTTATTTTGTCCTGAGTGAATGCTCAGTTACTATGTCCCATCCTTGGGGAATTTCTCAAGTCATCACTCAGAGGTCTATGGCCAGTCATGGCTGGGTACCCACAGTGGCTATTTGGTTATTGACCTACCAGTGTGTCCTGATAAAACAGTCTCTGGTTCCGGGGTGGAATCTCTGTTAGGGTATACAGTTTTAATTGAAGTTGCTCAACACTTGTATGGCTTGGTAGACACATTTTTATTGTATACTGGGTATGAAACACTATAAATGTCATCCTATTAATAAACAAAAACAAACTGTATGTAAGCTAAGGAACCCATTTAGCAGTACCCTGTTATAATAGTACAGTGGATACCTCTTTGCTGGTTTATCACAATATGGGAACTAATCTGGCACAATTTGTTTTTTTCCTCAATCACTACATGAACACATATAAAATAACCTCAGACTCAAGATACATCTGAGAAATGTACACTGTAGTTCCAGGGAATAATTATACTGAATAAACCAATGCTAGCTAAGCATTCCATTGAATGTACAACAATTTTTTTTGACATTATCCAGGGTTTTATCCTGGCCAATGTATCCCTGCCTTCATGGGATTTATTTAATCATTTACATGAAATGACTGAAAAGAAAAAGTAGATGGGAAGGTGAAATATGTTACCAGCTGGTTGCAGGTTAAAGCCGTTATGAGCCCAGAAAAAAATAATATATAGAAAAAATGTACACTTAATTGGCCACTCCCCATTGGGGCTTTTCAGGACCAATATGTAAACAATCAATGATAAATAAATATTGAAATAAACATAACTAGGTTGAGAATCCCAGCTGGCGGGAGTCATACCAGTTGGCTATAATTTACAAGTGTAGCCGAGAATTGAACTCGGAGCCACCGAGAACAACATCAGCTAGTGGTCAGAGCAGGATTTGAACCCGGGACCTACGGATTTCAATTCCAGTGCTCTAACCACGCAGCCAGACTGCCTCCACAAACATGAAAAAGACTGTTTGACTTGTACACTTACTTATCGACAGGATGAGAATCATCTTCAGAAAATGAATCTAATACAGGAGAATCAAAGTCTAGTGTGCTCCCATATGTGTCAGATGGAGGTAATCTCTTGCATTTCTTTCTGCTTACATGGGCTTTAGCCTATGACCAGATACAAATTAAATTAATTATGCTTTACATCACATGTCAAGCATGGTAACTTATGCACAACACTTTTTTTCAGAGAAGAATTGGAAAATGTGACTGCAAAAGGAAACAATGTGACCAAGATTATTCGGACTTAAAATATCAAATCTGCAGAATACTATCAATAAATTACGGCCTTCCTCGAGTTTTTTCATAACTATCGAAAGTTTACCCTTAATTTTCCACCAATGTCTTCAAAACATAAGGTGTTTCCTTGGTTGCTAAAATAATTAAGTGTTGGTTAATTCACTCTGAAGCACGTAAAAAAAACCCTCCTCTTGAATAAGTAACAGTGGTACGGAATGTCATTTTCTAAATAAACCCCTGGAGAAGAAGGTATTTGAGCATTTACAAAAACAATGCCTTCATGATAGTTTGCTGACATGATAATTTACCTTTCCATTTTTATGGTTTGAGGGTATACAACTTGCTGGGGACTTGTTTCTTTTCCTCAACTTTTTTGAAGATTTGGGTAGGAATATATAGCTTGGCTCTGGTTTACGGAAAAATTTTCTGTATGCCACCAAATCAGTAGGATATTGCTGTAAACAGACAAAGAAAATTAAGCAAATGACCACTAAAAGATTCAGATACAAATATAGTAGATAGCTTATACTTATGGTGTAGAAATTGAAGTTAGTCAGTGTGCAAGAGACAACATTTGGTTAATTTGTTACAAGTTCCTTTTAAGCATAGAATTACTTTGTCTATATTTTTCTCAGTAAGGGTTTTATCCTTAAACTTTATGACCTAATTATATATTGTGTCATTGGCTATTCACAGAAAACAACTGTGAAGAAATAACTAACAAGTAAATGAAATAATCAGATGGGCAGAAAATCACTCTTTTCTTGCCCACCCCATGAGACTTCAACTAAGGGTGGCATCAGAAATATAAAAGCTACATTTCTTGCATCAGAACAATATGGCCATGCCACAAATTAATTAAAATTTTAAAAGTATCAAGATAATTGTTATAAAGGTGTTTTTGTTTAGACTGTCTTGTTTTTGTGGCATAAAACTGACTTCAGTCAACAATTCAGTTGGTAGAGCAAGTGGAAGAATTACAGTGGTCATGGGTTGCCTTGGAATTCAATTCAATCCTGAAATTTTTTTAAGCTGCTTTGTTTCTGCAGCTTACAAAGTAGCATACATAAATAAATTGAGATGATATTTCATGAAATGATGTTTCATCACTTTTACCCGAAAGTGTGCTCTCCTGACTCTTTACAAGAAAGATTTAAATCATCTGCATTGATGTAGTAGTTTTAAACCAAAAGACTCACTTTATGAGCTACATGTATTATAATTGGAGGGCTAGATTTTGAGTAAAAAATGGTGAAGTTCTTTCAATGAAAGCCTACACATACAGCAATGTATATATTAATGGCAGATATATGTGAAACTGGCTTGACTTTTTTTTTCCTTTATACTATATATGACTTCATTGCAAGGTTTTGTTACACCAGGTATTATTAGACCTCATTAACCAAGACCTGGGTCCTTGGCGATCAGATAATTAAGTGACAACGAAAAGTTACTTGCCCAGGAGGAAAATCTACTAGTCCCGGACAAACGGACGGCACTTTTTTCAAGCCCTGTGATAAATAGTGTGTGTTTTTGGGACCATTCATACACTAAATGATATCAATAATTTCTGGGACAAGTTTAGTGTTAATTATTGATTGATCATTAATTGACTAGCCTAAATCAGTGCAGCATGTCCAGTTCCTATTTTTTCCCCTTATTTTTTGAGCAGTTTCCTATTTCTTCTATTTTGTTGAAGTGAAACCTCCTATTTTTCCTTTTTTTGGCCAAGCATGTGTTACAAAATTAAAAATAGATTTAAGCCTTACTGGGTGTTTCAGATGTACATGTCGACTTATAATTAAACAATCGGTGTCATGACTTTGATGATATAAAATTAATCAACAAAACTGTTAGTGACAGTAATTCATTCTTTGTTCTCTGTTGCTTACTGGATTTCTTTCCATAAGTTAGACTTACTGTTTGAAACATATTTTTGCAATGATTTTCTTCTGCACCTCTTTTATCTACTACATTTATTAATGTAGTTCAGGTGACTTGTGTTAAAGTCAACAGATAATAACATTGTGCATTAAACCATGGAAAATATATTAGTTATCCATACATGTCCTTATGCCAAACTGTTGCATCACTGACTAAAGTGGCAGACTGACATAGCTGATGGGTTGCAGGGAAACTATCTTAGTCCATCAAAATAGCATTGATTTTCCTATTTTTTCAAAGAAAGTTCCTAATTTTCCTATTTTTTGCAATAACAAGTTTCCGATTTTCCTATGTTTCTGAACAACCATGCTGCTGAAACACACTGTCAGTGTCAAAATTAAACTTATGCTATTGATTGATTTAATTGACTGATTGAGAGTGCTTGATCGATTGATTGAATTGTTTATACTCCTTGGTCATTTTCATTGATAACATTAGCATTGTCTGGGACCATACAAATGGTTTTAACATAGCACATGAATTAATAACCAGTGCAGTATAATACAAGCTCTCCTGTGACCTGTATATTACATATTAAATTGTTATATAGCTGGCTTTTTTCCCACTTCATTACGCCCATTCATTGGCTAGTTAATGTTCACATGAAATATAACAATGAAACAGCTGTTTTCCGCCAAATGCCATGAGCGGGCAATATTGCAAAAACCATGACATCAAACAGGAAGCAGTTTACTGTTACCCGCGCAATGTTGACTGCTGTTGCATATCACTTGGCAATAAAGTGATTATTTGTTTTCTGTCGATTTGATCCATTTGTTTTGCTATACTGTAAATCTTCGCACTAGTGCCCCCCTCGAATAAGCGCCCCCTTTGAACAAGTGCCCTCTCGAATAAGCGCCCCTCCTATAGGCCAAAATTTACAATAAGTGCCCCCCTTCAAATTAGCGCCCCTTCCCCTCCCCCCATTTTGTGGACGACTAATACAAAGGATGTATACAGCAGTTTTCGTTGTGTAGTAATAGATTTGTGCATTGTTTCAGTTTGTGAACCGGTAAGTTAAAAAAAAAATTTCAAGTACCAATGGTGCCGCAATTTAAAGTTTAGGATCAGCTTTTTATGTTGACATACAGTTTATATTGTTGTTTACGCACAGATGATTTTTTAAAAAATGATCATGTCAGGCCGTGATTTGGGAAAAATTAAATAAGCACCCCTCTCTCCCCCCCGCCCCCTTCTTCTCCTAAATTTGAAATAAGCGCCCCAGGCGCTAATTCGAGGATTTACGGTATAAGAAATCACTTGATGAATCGAAACTCAATGTTTCCTTCGACTTTGTCTCGGGAAACATTGAAATTCTTGGGAAACAAAATTCACTCTCCCCCAAGGGGCCAGTCACTAACATAACTGTTAATAATAATTATAATATTGTTTTGACGGTCCCACTGGTAATAATA